TCCCATGTCTCCAGACCTGCTCCCTTCTGGGTGCGGGTGTACACAACACTCTTGGGGAGATATTTCAGGAAAAAAAATCCACTTTTTTTCCTCATTAAGTAAGGCTATCAGCGTTGCCCTCAACGGGTGGCAGGCTAACAGCGTTCCTCCCCTTGGGAAAGGGGGTTGGGGACACATTTGAGGATGTTAGTGCAGGCACTTAACAGAACTAATAATACCATTTTTATCTGGTTTTGTGTATATTTTAATTTCAAAGCTGTCTCATGGATACCCGAGCTGGCTCCTGAAGGGCTGCTGTAATTACTATTCACCTGCTGCTGCTTCTGCAATGAATATTCACAATGTCTCATAAAACCCAGGGGCAGCTGAGCTTCCCCAGGTGTTTGCCGCAATGCAAACCCTTAATTTGCTCAGAAATTTACTTCAGGAGGATGACCTTGTATCAAGCCTGAGCATTGAAAGGTTTTTAATTGTTAGATAATGTGCGATATTACTGTAACGTGCTGGTGCAAGTGTTTGTTACAGATCCCTGCAAGAAAGGCGCTTGGACTCTGAGGCATTGATTAAAATACTATTTATTAGAGATAACAAAGAAGGAGAGAGGGGCTGGCAGAGATATCCCTTCAGCTGATGGCAAAGGCAAGCTGCAGGGGGTCAGGCAGACCCCTTGCCATGGCAGGCTGCACGGATCCCATCCTTAAGGCTGTTCAAGGATGCTCTGAGAAGTAAGCAACTCTATTAATTTCTACCACTGCTATCAAACCGTGCTGCTTCACTTCAAGATAAGAGGAGACACACAGCTGGTGAAATTGCCGGCTGCTGAGCAGCACCCGCCCGCAGGCTTCTCCACCACAATTAGTGTGGGCAGCGCTCGTTAGTTAGGGATGCGGATTTGTGCTGTGCATCAATACAAAGTCTTTTGTTTTTTTCTTTCTTTCCTGGTAGCTTCTCCTGGGGTTTGCAGAAGGATGATGATAATTGACAACGTAAATAATAAACTGGGTGGGGATCACTGAAGGGGACCCTATGGCGCTACACAACGTACATGTGTAATAGCAACACTTCTTCCTCCTCTTCCCAAAGGAAACTTCATACACAGAAGGCAAGAAATAAAAAATGAGGGAAGAAATAAGCATGTTGGGATGAGGAGTAGAAGACATGGAGTAATAGATACATTTCTCAGAGCCAGACACTGTCACCCTCACAGCTTACTCCCAAACTCATTATTATGCCACAGAGATCAGTTTTGAGCAGGAATCCACAGGACTAAAGGGTGCCGACTTCTTCCAGGGAGTGTTTCTCAAGTGGTGGATGGAGCCATGGTCGAAGTACAAAGCAGAGCTGGGCTGCTGAGGCTGGCAAATGCTCACAGTGGAGAAACATATTGATTCAGCTTAATTTGTGAGAAATTTGAAAGAAAAGGCAATTCTAACTCCCCTTTATCATAGGTACGCTGTAAAGAGGGGAGATGCTGTCTAAAACAGAACCCGCTCTCTCTCATCTGATGCAGCAGCAGGTTCGATGTACCTTATTGGACCCTTCAGGTCTGTGTCTACATCTTCTACCAGAAATCTGCGTTTCCTGAGCCTGAGGAGGTGAAGCAAAGGAAGTTACCATCAACAGAAAGCAGCTAACAGAGAATCAGGCCGCAGAGTTGAGCTTAGCAAATAAATTTAGAGTGTATTTGGGGAGCAGAGTGAAATCATAAAAAAGGATCTTACAACCACCCAGATCGATGATGAATAGGATTTTAAAAGAGGCTGTTTCACCTGTCCTCCAGCTGCTTTTGTTCTGTGTAGCTCTGCTTTCTTGTTTTCAAAGGTGATACTGAGAAAATCAGACTCTTTGCTATGAACGGTTGAACTGCGTTTCCTGCAATTAATTGGAGCTGTAACCAGCTGGAATGCTTTTAAAAAAATCAAACTCCACTGCATTAGCTCCACCAGAGCATTCGCTCCATAGTAAGAAATAACATGGCTGCTGTGGTAAACTGGAGGCAGAACAGGGAAAGAAACAGCTGGATTTTCCAGGTACCAGGGAAGTACTTTTAAAAGATGCGGTGGAGTCATCAGTAACTCCTGCTTCCGATGGAGCCGTTGTGTTGAAGTGGAACAAAAAGGACACATCGCTGTAAGGCAGCACATTCCCTTGAAGGGCTGCAGCATCCCAGCTGAGCAAAATGCATTCTTGAAGGCCTCTCCTTTATGATGTTGGTTGTAAATACATCCATACAGCTCACAGCAGCGCTGTTTGCTGCCGAGGTGCTTCAGCTGTGTCCTGATCCAGGCAGAGCCCCACCAAACATTAGTACATTGCGTCTGGCACTGGTGGACTCTGGAGTCACATCCAAAGAGATCAGCCCTGCACCCATTAGAAGAGTGGCTTCGGTGAATTTTTTTTTTTGGATAGAGGCTTTTGAATGTCCTCCACTGGATCACGAGGGGCACTCAGTGTGTTAAAACCGCATTTGATGGATGAAGAAAACTGACACAGAGCAGCGAGTGTCTTGTGCAAAGCCACCAAGACAATGTCACAGCCTTGACTGAACCTAAGTACAGCTCACAGCATCTTCACACTACAGATTTTTTCCTGTCATTTTAAGTCACATTTATTACAGAAATCCCCCTGTAGTACAGGAACCTGTAATTCTTTTGATCTTGCTCAGAGTTCCTCACATGGACGTTGATTCTGCCATTCATAGGGAGGCCACCGTCAGACTTGCTTTCAGTGGTGCTACCCCCAGACATCGAATTGGTGAGGTTACTGAAGGCTTTCTAAAATTGTTTTGCAATCTAGAGGACCAGTTTGAAGATCTTCAGTTTGCAGGGAAAGGTAAGCTAAATTGTAGATATGGTGTGTCCCACACCAAGCGATTCCTGTAATCGCAGTTTTATTAGTCACTCACCATTTAGGAAGTGTTTAGCAGGCAGCTAAAGTCTACCACGATAAATTGCTATCAAAAAAACCCCAGTGAAATCTTGTGTAATGCAGATGAAAAAAGACATTTTGTCTGGGAAACATTTGAGAAAAAAGCAATTTATTGTGCCATTTTTACTGATTGAAGGATGGGAAGGGGCATTACTAGACACCCACACCACTAAGCTCCTGGGATACGAATGCCAAAGGGGCTGTTGAAAAGGGAGCCTCGTTTACAAGTGTTATAAAAAAGACTGGTGCCAAAGATACATGGAGGTGGTGGGTTTAGATGCAATTCAATAACCAGTTCCAGTCAGTATGCGTGCAGTCCTGCCCAGATGCTGGATTCTGTTATTTTGTCAGCAGACAGCATAATGTATGTGCACGGCCAAGCTGGTGCACTGATGCTAGGGTCAGTTGAATGAGACCAAGCATGAATTTGGCCTTCAGAGTTTGTTTTCCTCACTTTAATGATACTCAAGAAATAGCTGTCTCAAGAAATAGCCTTAGGGAGCGCATATTTTGCCCATATTTTAGAATTTTGACTGTCACAAATAGATTCTGAAGTATCTTCCCAGAGAAGAAAAATTTAAAAGTAGCTTAATTCAGGGAATATGAGGCTGCTGAGAAGCATGAACGCAGAACCGGGTATGGGCTCCGGCAAACTTTACTTTAACCCTTGGAACTCTCCTTATTCTAAAGGGCCTTTCAGTGGAAATTTTTTTAAAGTGAGTTTAGATATCATGAGGTGGTGTCAGGGTCCTAATGTGACGAGTTGCAGAATCATTATAATTACAGCTGCTGCTAAGAGACCCAATACTATGCAGCTAATGAGTTTCCTCTGAAGGTTTGGAAAATACTTCATGGAAAATATCTGTACCATTTCTTACACCTTCTTCTCCTGACATCCCCTGGACAGCGATGATCTTCTTAGTGCCGTGCCTCTGGGTCAAGCGCAGTGGTTCTGAACACCTGGTTGCTGATGCCGTACTGCAGTTATGCCTTCCACGTCATTGGCCATCAAGAGATGTGCTTGACAAAACACAGCTAGTTCATCCCTTGTACTACCAAAGGAGTCGCAGGACCAGCACAACGTGCTGCTTCTGAGATGATACTGCTAAAGTAATTAAAAAATCCAGTCTGGCCCCTGATCTCCCCTTCAAAAGGTTTTTACACTGCAGAAGAGGTTGTGACTACAAACAGGCACCAAACAATCTGCATGCAGGGACCATCCCTCTCCTCCCCGAAATTCAGTACAATCAAATGGAGCAACTCAGGTGTCCCTGGTATTTTTAGACTCCCCAGTGGTGTTGCTGTGCTTTAGATGAATAATCTGCTAGCCGTGCTGTGATGGGGCTGTGGGACAGCACCTCCAACCTGCTTAGAGTCAGAAGGTTTTTACTTAATTAAAGCATCACTTGCAGAGATGGAAAATCACTGAGGAGATGTGAGGTAAGGAAATATTCAGTAGAGTGTTGTAGGGTTGTATTTTTTTCCTTTGCAGTTGCTGTGGCTAGATGTTTTTAATGGAAAGAAAACAAAATGTCATCATAACAACTCTGATGAAATCGCCTGACACTTAGGTCCACTTCCAGCAGAGTTTAGGAAGGTAACTGATGAACACATAGCTTCATCTGGTTTGCTGTTCCTGGAACTGAACTGAATACTTTCATAACAAATAGTTCATACAGTGAAGTTTCTTCTCTTTTCTAGGGAATAGCTAGGAGCAGGTTGTGATGTTTGTCAGATGCATTCGTTTGTGGGTTGTGGTTTTGTTTTTTTTTTCAGAATTATTCTACAAGATTCTTCTTGCTTATTGCCTTGCAATTTGAGCTGCACTTCTTGGTTTTTAATGCTGTTATCATTGAGTGGCATTGTTTCTACCCCCTGAATAGAAACACTCTCCCTGAACATCACAAGGCACGGTCATAGAAAATTTACTTGCTGCCTGAACTTGAGAAAACAGATACAAATCTTATTTTTGCAAAGAGATGGGTTACTGAGAACTCACTTGCATGAACATTCATGGAATGGGACCGTGAGAGAAGTCTGTGCAAGGCCAAAGCAGATGTGTTTACAGTTTCAAACAAATCTCTGTAGATAATGTTTTGCAGTAAGTGTATATCTCTGTTTGTGAAGAATAAAGTCCCTCAGTCTTCAAACATCACAGATCCTGGGCTTCCCTAAGGACACAGAGATATTCTCCCTCGCCCTGCTGTCAAGTGGGCAAGTTGTTTCCTGGAACTTTTTTTTGAACAGCTTCCATTGCACACTGGGCTCCCAGTTGGATTAAAGCTCTGCATGAATGAATCAATGACAGAGCTGGGAATGGCTGTCTTCCCCTTGGCATTGCGCTGGGTTAGCCGAGGGCTGAATTTGGCTGTCAGTCTTGCTACATCTGGAAACAGGTAGGGGCACTGAGACCTCTTATACAATAGAAAAAAAAAAGAGATCATCCTGAATTAGATCCAAAGCAGAGCAGGAGGACATATAAGGATCTGACGGGTAAGGACTATAAGGATCTGATGGGTACTCTTCCTCCAATGTAAGACATGATCTAACAAAATACAAGTGCTGTAGTGCATTAAAATACGTATGGCAGAGAGACTGAATATTCTTTGCAATACTAACATGTTTCAGGGTCTTACACTCTTTGTTCCAGCACACAAAGCTCTGACCCAGTCAAGCTTTTTAGCGGTGGCAAATTTATTCCTAACTATTTTTCTTTGATGAAATGGAGTTGTTCTTTTTTTGAGACAGGACTCAATCCATAGTGACAAAGGGCGGATTATCTGCCTCTCAGCAAGCTATTGAAACCTATCAGAGTGAATTCGGATGTGGGTTTAGGAAAGCTATTGAAAACATGCCAGGAACTGTATAATACAGGGAAGGAGGGCAGGAATGGTACTTAAATGCAGTGTGCTATTAGGATGTCGGCAGCATCTGGAGAACTGAGATGGTTTTTGGCAAATGACAGAAAGGGATGTAATTCAGGACTGGAGCCAAACTCAAGCTTTACTCGGCTGCAGACAGAATCTCCTCTGGGGTTTTCCCCTGCCATACTTAGAAAATTGTTTTTTCCCATTTGTAATGAAGCTCAAATTTCAGTATCTACGCAAGTACTATGTAGGCAGTATCTTTTTAGTGAGAAAATTAGCTAGACCTTTTCCTGAGGTCCAGCTTTTATTCAAGGGTAAACAGAGGGGCTTTTGGAGATAGTTTCTTGTTAGAGATCAAATTAAGGAGGGATGTCCCTAGGGCTTGCAGTGGAAAAAAATACTTTAAGGTTCTTCTGTGCTGTCTCTCCTTGAGCCTCCTTCTGTATGTTGTGCGTATCTGTAGATTTGACTCTCTTGTTTAATTACAGTTTTAATCATCTTACTCATGCTTCATTTCCCACTGTAAATAAAAAGAATTTTAGGCTGCACTTTGCTTTTTTCTTCCAAGTGGCTGCATAAATTTGCCCTTTTTAAAAAAGTGACTGATTATTTTATTGTGAAATCATGTGCTCATCTAGTCAACATTACTGAGTTGAGTCATCCCATTGTCGGGGAAAGCACCCTAGGGAACAAAGATGAACAATTGCAGGTTATTTGTCAGCAGCGGTGTGTGGAGTGCTTAAACTCATGGGGTGATAGCAAATGACAGCAAGATGACTTTGTACTTACACATTCAAAATGTAATATAGTCTGGTGAAATCTTTGGTGGTTTTATGTATAGGGACAATGGCAAACTTCAAGGGAAGGCAAACTGAATATATATGTTTTTCCTTCTGTCCCTAAGGACAACCAACTCATACCTTCTTCCAGTGGGGCTCCCCGATCTTTCCGAAGTCAGTTGCCCATAACCCATGTTTGCCTGTTGCGGTGTGCACTGGCTCTAAGTTGCAGTCTGCTTTGTTAGGTTACATTTCCAAGGAGTATCATCCCAGAACTTCCATGCCATCTCTGTTCACTGCTGACGGGGTCAAAATGGCTTCCAGAAATAAGCTGGAAAAATATTGGAGAATGGTGAAGGGGTAGGGAGAGAAATAATGATCTTAGCAAGAGCAGTTTCTCCAGCACTAAGCATGACAATGACTTCAGTCCTCTCTCCGCTCTCTGCTGTCCTTAGCCTAGTTCTGCCTGAGAATTTGCAAACACCAGTACCAGCCCATGAAGGGTAGTCCAGCCCTAGAGGAATCCTCCCATTCATCCATCCATACCAGTTACCACCGCACTGGTTTCATGTGGCCTGGCCAGTTGTGTTCCAGTAGTCCCAGCCCCATGTGAATGGATTGGCTGGGTCTATCCTTGTGCACCCCACACCCACAGGGACCCTTAAGGCCAAGCACATAGCTCTGTAGTGTGCTGTATTCAGGGCTGTCTTGGTGGTGGTGGTGTTAAAGAAAGCAATCTTAATTTGGGGGCTGGTGCAGGGAATAGAGTCTCTTCAAAGTCAGCTCTTTACCTTAGGTCTCACAAGATTGCTTTAACCGCAGAGCAATGGAAGAAGCGGTGAAGAATGGTGCACCCCATTCATCTCTTGATGAGCCTGTTGGGCAATACTGTCCAATGACAAAGTCCTGCCTAGTGCCGACTGAACATCTATTAAACCTATGTGTTCATGTGGGTAGATGAAGCATGAATGTTTCTCTACAGTGAACTGGAAAAATAATATGTGGTCGTCTAATAAAGTACTTCAAGGACCCTCTAAAAGCCAACTTGACAGAGGGCAATTTGTCCAGCAACTCTTTGCGGTCTTAGCTACCAAGAAGTAGTGACAAAGTCCATAATGTGAAGAAGCACAGGCATCTTTCATGCCCTTGGACAAAATACCCATACAAGGTGAAGAAAACAGCACCCAGCTGGCTCACACTTGTAGTGTCACTGGCAACTGTAGAAAAAGTGTTTAGCAGATACAGGTCTGTACTGTTATTTGCAAACCTCTCTCATTTACTCATGGTCTGGCACTATTGCCCTCAACTCAAGATGACAGATCAGTTTGAAAAGCCCATTGCATTACCCACCCACAAGCAGAACCTTGTTGCCCCTGGATAATGTCATTCCGGTTCATAAGAACTGGTTCATGCCTATATTGTCAGAGAACAAACACTTGCTAACGACTCCCATTTCTCACTTTTCCCACACTTTACTATGAAATCTCAGAAGGGAAACACAATAGATAACCAGATAGTTCCACTTTGGCAACTTTGGCACACGTCTCCCACTATTCGTAGAATCATAGATTCGTCTAGGTTGGAAGGGACTTTGAAGATCATCAAGTCCAACCATCAACCTAACACTGCCAAACCACCACTAACCCATGTCCCTAACCACCACGTCTACCCGTCTTTTAAATACTTTTAATATTGACCATGCCCTTACTGAGCCAGCCTTTTTGGAACAGGCAGGAGTGTTGGTAACTTCCTATGGTAAAAGCTTCGGAAGAGTTAGGTGGGTGCTCACATCAGTGACTACTATGTTAGCAGCGGGATGAATGTGTAAGATTCCTGCCTAGGGAAACAGAAAATATGGAGCAAGTCACAAAAGGAAGTCCTTGTTGGGTTTGGTTTTCTATCTTAGTAAGTACATAACAGAAAATTTAGTCTTAACACTTAAAGGTAGAATTCTTCTTCTTTACACCTAATATATCTGTGCAACTACGACTTTGTCATGCTAATGGCACCATAGGCCTTCTAGAAGATGGAGACCATAATGTGGTCTATAGCAAAAAAAATACGTCTGGCTTAGAATTTAATTAGCCTTGACAGACCAGCAGCACGTACCTGACCCCACACTGCAAAGCAAATTCTTTCCATTTTTCTTTTCAGTAGAAATCTCTCCTCTTTCTTTTTTCCTCTCTTCTGCTGAAAACTGAACCCAAGGTAGATACTTTAAAGGCCACAGCAATTCAATTGCTCATCAGCAGAGCAAGCCTACGTCTAGAGCTCATATTTAGTTTTCCTAGACCACGTTAGCTTAGTCAATTCTCTACAAGGTTTAAATGAAAAACAAAAAGATGCAGCAAAGTGGAAAAAAAATGACCTTTCAGCTTAAGGATGAAGATTTTAACCGAAGAACAAAACAAAGTTGAGGAAAAATCCCATGAAGTTTCTTTTCATACGGATGAAAAGCAGTTTTTTATTTTGTTCAGATTTCAGGATCTGTATAATAACATTTGTTTCGCTTAACATTTCGAAAGCAAAGAGCTTCCCCTGAGCCAGGCCGTTGATAAGCTATTCCTAGCACGCTACAGGGTACTCTGTGCACCGTGAACTATGCCACACACATCTTTAGCGAATGTAGCTCAGGAGCCTCAGAAGAAAAAAATATGATCATTTTGGCAACAAAACTGTACTGAGTGAAGAAAAAAACCCATAAACCTTAAATCCTCTTACTAAGATGTTCAAAATCACATGTGACACTGATGGTCCTTCTGTCTTTCTTCACCAATCCCCCTTTCACAAGATCACGCATGTACAAAAGAGAGAACTAATCTGTTTGTACCTTAGCGGTGGATTTCTCATCTTTCTACTCTTTATTCACAAAACACCTTATTTCCTCACTCATAAATACTTCAATGTTCAGTACATCTCAGAGGCCAAACAGAATCTACCCCTTTATGGCTTTGGGAGCTATTTTGAAATTACCTGTTCCCAAGAAATCCCCTTGCAGGGAGAACTTAATGTTTCTCATTCCAGCAAGAAAATTCAGTCCAGTGAGAAATGATTTGGTAACATTTATAATTTGCTACCGATCACTCTGTATTTTCTAACATTAAACAAAATACTGAACAGAACTTTTAGTCCGCCCAGGCTATTTGTGTACAAGATTGCAAAAGACATTCCAAATGATCTTCCTTCCTACACTTTCTCCAGCAGTGCTTCTGCAATCTGATGGAAACATCCCAGCATGGGAATAAATAAATCTGTGTAAGAATTTATGCAGAGCTCTCATGAAACTGCAGATATTTGCCCAGCCGAGATCTTATTCGATTGTATTATTTTTTTTCCAAATGGAAGCCAGAAGTTTTTCTTTGGCCTATATAAATGCTGACCTAGTATTATCTTAGGAAAATAAGTTATCTATATATTTCAGATGTCACTCCTTCCATTGAGAGTCCATGAATGAAACTGTGTCGATGTCATTTAGATTTCTATTACCATTTCTCCTGTTGAGACTACTGATCTGGGAAATTTTGAAGTTCTTTCTCCCTTCTTAAGGTTTTTAAATTCTCAGAAAAGTTTCTGGAGTGGGCTGTATTGCTTTTCTTCTACGCAGCTTTCTGACTTATTTATAACCTCTTAAGAAAATAAAAGAATTTAGTAACCGAAGTAACCAGAGTTACCTTAGTTTCTCCTATTTCATTTGTTGGTCATGCTTCTATCTCCAGTTCTGCCATAGTTAAGGCGTTGCTTTACAGTCCGCAGGCAGACTCCAATCTCTGCATGACAGCCACACACATCCCCTCCCATCCATACGCTGGAGGCACTGCCCTGCCTTGAAGGCACACATGCATCATCCTCGTGTTCCTTCTCACCTGTGTTTTAGGACACATGGATGCCCTGATAGGAAGTCTGGGACTGCGCTGGATCCCACAGTGTGTCTGCAGCCACTCGCCATGGATGCAGCTTTCAGTAGAGGTGCCACTGGGAGCACAGAAATGAGCACACTGGGCGTGCTGGGCCTGGATGAATCTTAATTAATAATCCCACACACAAAGTTGGTGGTATGGGCTCTGACAGCAATGAACCTGTCTGTGGCACGTCCCAGAGGTGAAAACTCCGAGCTTCTCAACTTGCAGGCTCAGGCAGACCGTCCTGTGTTATTTCCATCTTGATCACGTTTTTAAGATCTTCGGTTTTAATTTTATGGGAGCAAAAAAAAATTAAATTTGGGATGTTAATGTTAATCACATGCCTCCAGGATCTGGAGCACGAGGTGTGTAGTCTTTACAAGTTCAGGTGACTGTGGTGGTACTTAGTGCATGGTCTGGCTGCTGCCACACAGCCATAATGGAAAGGTGTTTGTGTTATCCCAGCGGCCACAGCCACCTCCACCCACTTCTGCTTCGCTCCCCAGTTTGGGCAGGTGTGGCACAGCCCCCTCGGCTGCCACTCCTGGCTATGCAGAGGGCCATAGTGTCAGCATCCAATCTTCTGAATTCTGTGCTGTGTTCCCTGTTAATTTACTGTGCATGTAAGGCATTCAGTCTCTCTATCAGTCATTCTGCTTGTAAAATAGAGTAACGGGGGAAAAAAAGATTGGAAGGCACCTCTGGAGGTCCTCTAGTCCAACCTCCTGCTTGAGGGAAGACTAACTTCAATTAAGGTAAGTATAATAATTACCTACATTAGAAAGTCTGGGGAGATGCAAGAGGAAGGTAAGTTTACATAAGATTAGCCTTGCTGGTGAACCTTGGAATCGTAAAGCTGATATTCCCTTTAGGAATTCTATTATTTCCATTAGTGTCTATAATTTCTTACTCTCCTTGTACTCTCCTATTATATCTTTATTTTCTAATAAGTACATTTGTGGATTTTATCTGTTGATTGCTTTTGGCTATAAGACCTCAAACCAGAGCAATTTAGAGACAGAGAGAAAGAACGTCGGTTCTTAAAAAAATGATATAGCAATACATCGGTGTGTTACAGTGACAGTTTAATATGCATGATCAGTATGAAGCTGAGCTGCCGCCCTTTCTATAAGGCCATTAGCTATGCTTCCGCAGAGAGTATCAGGTTGGACAACACTGGGTTTACCAATAACTAAGATTATATTGCAATTTGGAAGTCAATAAACATAGCTGTTGTCTTGGCTGCTGATATTCTGACAACCAGTAATTTTTCTCAGTCCCTGTGCATCTCAAAC